TATTAAAAGAATGAAGCACTGTGGTCCCAGTTCAGTATAGTACTCCCACACATGCTAGCCTTAAGTATTTTTAAAGTTTAAACAACAATATTATGTATTACATAGTAATTACATTGTTAAAATATTATGCTACTAATACTTGGATTGAAATTTTCTACGATACTAAAGAGAGTATGTGCACAATTAATTGTGAATTTCAGTGGAATTTGGGCATCTTACCTTTACATATTCCTTTGAAAATCCCATCTTAAGGATTTTAAGATTGTCCTTGAAAAGGGATAATTCTATTTTGTTTTCCAGTTTGTCTTCCTGCTCAGAGGACAGGATGGATAATGTGATAGCTTCTGTTAGTGCTTCGTAAACAATTTAACACACCTATAACAATTTTCATTCCAAAGGGCTTTATAAAACTGTATACACACAATTAATTTCACTCATCAGTAAACAACAGCTACATGGTGGTAGCATGCAACAACTAAGCGTGACACAACAGCTTAGGACAGGCTCAGATGGGAAGGAAGTGCAATCAAAGGTTGTGAACACACAGCATGACTCCTATGGAGTAATTCACCTGAACTTTATTTTCTGTAATAAATGTATTCCATAAAAAGGGATGGACACATCACGAGTTCAACTATGAATTCAAGCTGCCCACAGTAGGCGCTATTACAGGGCTTGGCCATTGGATTATTAGTGAATAATGGACTACCCTTTGATGAAACACATTAGTGGAAAACACAAGATCAGCAAACCCACTTTTCAAGCCCACTTGAGGCTAACTTAATCCCAAAGTGGAGTGACTTGAACCATCAAAAGGCTCTATGTCATGCTTCCACTCCACTTTTACACCAGTTTAAAGTCAAATGACTTCATAATAAGCATGTTGAGGCTCTTCACCTTCATTTTTGGAGTTTCTTTCCCTAATTTAGCTTCTCAAAATGTGCTCATACCAGGGTCTGTTCTTCCTGTTTAACATCATGGGCCATCATGCAATATCAGATTCTATCCTCCATTTTATAACATGAATTTAGAAAAACATAAAGGCTATTTCAGTGGAAACATTTTTTAAATAATGGTTCTTGATATATTCCATGCAGATGAATGATCTGCTCTCCTTAAAAGTTAGTTTTGGCCATCAAAAATGCTTTTTTCTGTAAACCCAAATCATGAGAACATTATCTGAACCCAGAACTTTGGAAACATTATATTAAACCTGCCCAAATTTTAAAAATCATGACAATAAGCTTAAATTCCACAGCTTCTATTCCTGATTGCCTCACTAAATAAGTAAAATAGCTGCAAGTTTAGCATGAAAAGGCATTTTCTAATGGTAGTTTTACCAAAAGTACTGTTAGCCCCATTTCTGAAAAAATATGCAAAAGCCAGTAGAGATGTAAAAGGTTAAATGATTAATTGTTTAACTGATATGCACTATAACAACCAGTTAAACTTACCAGTTATCCTTTAGCTTGAGCCAGGCGCAGTCTGACAGGGAAGGGGAAATGGGAAGTCACGCAGTGCCTCAGCAGGAATCAGAAGGCAGAAGGGCAGGCAGGCAGGCAGGCAGGTGGGAGGGAGCAAGGAGAAGGGGAGAACTGCAAGGGGCAGAAAGCACTAGTACCCATGGCACATGTGCCAGAGTATGGCACACAAGGCCATTTTGACTGGCACACCACAGCACACCCAGGGCTCTGGGCAGCTGCCACTGGCTACGAAGCCCAGGCTGCTGCTCACAGCAGGTAGCTGGGAGGCTGCAAGCTCTGGCTGGCTGCAACTAGGAGGATGCAAACAGCTGCACTGGTCTCTGCAGCCCTAGCTGGGCTCCATGGCAGCAGCAGGTACATGCGCACCTCCTGCCCACTGCCTGCTACAGCTGTCCAGAGCCCAGGTTGGCTGTGGCAGGCAGCTGGGAGGTTGCAAACAGCTGCACCAGGCTCCAGAGCGTGCACCGACCACTGCCACAGAGTGTGGCTGAGGCTCCAGAGCCCAGTGCAGCTGTTTGGTCTCACAGCATGCCAACCTTTTTATAAGCCACCTGAGAGAAGAATTCCACAAGGACTGCGCCATCAGACCCTTGCTATGCTTAAGATATATCAATGACACCTTCATTATTTGGACAGAAAACCTGCAATCTCTGATTTCCATCAGACTATTTCTTGAATACTCCAGCACCAACATCTCCTTTTAGATACAATGATCACTATCCAGAACAGTAAAATACAGACCACAATATACAAAGAAACCCAAGAACCAACATACATATCTGCACAGAACCAGCAATCACCCTAAACACACCAAGAAAGCTGTAATATACAGCCAAGTCCTCCAATACCACTGAATTTTCACTGAGAACACCTGAGTGTCACCTCACAAATCTCAGAAAGGCTTCTACCCAACAAGGACACTCCTCCAGAGAGACAGATCACACTTTTTAAAGAGCCACCCAGATACACCACATGAATTGCTGCAGTACAGAAGGAAAACCCCTATGAATCACACGCCACTGGTTATGACATATCATCGCTCCCTCAAACCTATATGAAAAATCCTTAAACAGTTGCAACCCATACTAGAAGGAGACCCAGTTCTTAAAGAGATCTTTCCAGAACCACCCATCCCAGCCTTCAAACAAGCATGAAACCTCGCTAACCTCATCACCAGAAGCAGACTTCCTATGGCCCAAAACACACCAAATCCTGCCAACACATTTACACCAACCCCCACAACTATACCCTACAGCAGAACCATCACCATTCCTGGATCTTACAGCTGCTCCTACAGAAATGTAATATATCTCATCCAAAGCACCAAATGTGCTGATGAAAAATATACAGGAGAGACCAAACGACAACTGTCACCAGAATGAATGCACACCGGAAATCTATTAAAGACAAGAATACCCAATTACCTGGGGGGCACATATCTCACAAGAAAACTACACTCTCTATAATCTCCGAGTTCTAATCCTCAAAGGGAATTTACAAAACACCTTTCACACACAAGCCTATGAACTTCACTTCATCAATCTATTGCATACAAAAAATCATGGACTGAATACAGACCTTGGAATTAAGACACATTATAACCTGCCTAACATCTGACTCCCCAGGTACCTCTCCACTATTTACCAGCTACATTCATTCCCATCCATCCCCAACCTGTCTCTCACCTACTCACTCCTCAATTTACATCTTCACAGACTACCTTTCTTGCATGCATACCAGCCTCTGGCTTCTTTACTATTCATTCCATCCAGGAAGAGCATAGACCAACTGCAGATCCTTCCTCAACCTGATGAAGGGTATTTGTACCCACAAGCTTGCAAAGAAGAATTTTTCCAACAATGTGAATTGGTCTAATAAACAATATTAGATTTACCCAAAGAACCTTGTCTGCCCGTGTCCTTAGACCAACCCGGCTATAACCTATACCCCTGAAAGATGGACAAGTACATTAAATCAGAATCTACTAACACTAAGTAAGTCTTAACAAAGATCTAAAATGCTTTAACTATAAAGCAATCTTATAAAATAACTATAAAGTACTTGTAAGCAACATTTTATAATATATACAGTAAGAAAGGCTCATCGTTTAGAAACAAGCAACAGTAGTTCAGGGCCAAACTGATAATTTATATTGCCACCTTTTTGGAAATACCTTCGTAACTAATTCAGAAGTTCAAAGCTCAAACATAAAATTACTCTGAACTAAAATGCTTTCTATATTTTCATCTCCTTTCCTGAATTCAAAAGCCATACCTGCACTGCCTTATCTTTGCAAAAGCAGAAGTTGTGTACTATTTTATCAAGCATTTACATTTATTTCACATTTAGCAATCCAAAACATGAGGTGCAGTGCCAGAGTGGCTAAGGCATCTCACTGTGCCTCTGGAGGCAACAAGTCCAGCCTTGCTCTGGAATCAGGCCAAGGGCCACCCCCACACAACCTAGCTGTGAATCATTACCAAGTGATTTCAGCTGGTACCCATTAAGGGCAGCTGAACATAATACTGGCCACATCACTCCCTTCTGCACCACCAGCTACAGAAATGAGCGTGCCTTAACCATACTAAGCAAGTAGATAAGCTTGTACCTTACCCATTAATACAAAATTAATCTACGAATATTAAGTAAAATTATTTTATATTTGTCACAGTAAGTGTAAACAATTTTAAAAAGCAAGTAATTGTTTTATATTGTAGCTATCTGTTCAAATAAATGAGGGAATTTAAACAACAGTTGTATCCTTTGTAGAAAATAGTACAAATTAACTGGTAAACATTTTACTATAATCACCCATTCCACCCATACATAATTGTTTCATGTATTACATGCCACTGCCCCAGGATGAACTTTTAGTTAAAGCTTCTTTCTTGACTGAATTTTTATATACAGCTTGTCTGCTTCCTGTTCTAATATTTCCTCTCCATTCCACATAGTTATAGTATTTGTAGATCACGATATCTCCTATTTGCCTGTCTATTGGCTGAGGCAAGGTCTGTACATGTATGTTAAACGCATGCTAAATGTCAGGACTGGAACCCAGGCCCCAAACCTGTGTGTCTAATATCAAAGCACTGTAGCATAAATTCAGTTAAAATTAACAGGAGGTTCTACAAGCACCACTGGCATATTAGTTATCTATAGTACAAATAGTTATCTACAGTACAACTATTTGAAGTAATTTATACTTAATACATAAATGGACAGTGGCTCTTAAAAAGACTCCCACTGACTTTTACTACGGATGAGTCAAAGGAGGATCCCACAACCCTTACTCCTGCAAGCAGTACAATGTTCCTAAGAAGGGTAACAAAATTGTGTTCTATAATAGGCCCTAGTCAGGCAAAAGTTCTCCTTGAGGTCTTAGTACTGGAATTGCAAGCAGGCAGGAAAGAGGACTTCAGAAAACAAACACTAGTCCCATCTGCTTAAAATATATTCAACCAAGTCTTATGAGCAATCCATAACGTAAACTGTTGTGTCATATAAGTACATTACCTTGACTGTATTATCCATGGAAGCTGAGAGAAGCATATGACTCCATTCTTGCACAGGACACCACTGGACTTTATTAATGGGACCTCTGTGTTTGGCTATCTGAAACACCAAGTTCTTCGGGATTTCAGTGGATTTATACTTAGATCCTAAATATGGCTTAACAAATTCAGAAATTTTTATGGAACTTTTCTGTCCTGATCTATCTGGTTTAATTTCATCACTTGTCTTCTCTCCCTGTCCTTCAGATTCTTTTCTTTCAGACACACTAGCAGATTTTTCTTGACGTAGTCTTTTAGGGATATACGGTCGGATTCCCGAGATGGTGGCAACATCATCTTTATATACTCTCTTCTGAGAGGAGGTGCCATTTCCAGACAGAAGTTCTGATTTTATCAAGGAACCTGATACCTGGTCACAGCTTTTATAGGATATGTATCCTGTAGTATGGCCAGGATATACTTTGCTAGGATAAGCAGCTGTCAGCTCCCTCTCAGTCTGTACATAATATGCAGAGCAATCTTTATGAACCATGCTTGGAGTGGAACTGTCAGTGTTCTCAGCAGGCTGCATTTTGCAGGTGAATTTTTTGTCTAAACCACCAGGTGCAAAACACTGAAGATGATTCACAGCAGAACTTGCAGGATTTGTCTTTCTACTAGACATATGGGGATCTTCAGCCTTTCCAGTCTCTGTCTCAGAGTCTGAATCATCATAAGCAACCAAGGATGAAATCATTGTGGTTAGATACAGCAAAATCCAGTAATCTCGGTGCTAAAATCATCCAAATGATGATTATCTGCAATTAAAGAAAATGAGAACTTAGAAAATAGTACATTTTGAATATTTAATGTTCTAGTTACTTAAAAACTGCATCATTTCTATAATTATAAATAGCCATGCATTTTTATTCATAGTTATCCATATAATTTATTTTTTATTTCAACTCATCTATACTTTTCTTCACATAGCATCTTTCACTCAAGGGTGTTTCTGCAATTTACATGCATGAACTATAATTTGAATAGGTAAGCAGGTTGTATTCCAGATAGTAATGCACAGAATTACAATAAGGAAAGCACAAGCTTCTTCATCTGGTCATTCCAATATACTTTAACGCTAAACTGTAATAAGGCTTACCCTGACAAGGTAATACTAATTATAAAATGGCTTGAGGAAATATACTTTTTTCAGTGGAACGCAAATTCTACAAACGGAGCTGGTACAATATGAAGTCCATTTATAATGTTGGTACTGTAAAGGACTCTGAGCAGGGTCCAAGGGAAAAAAGGACCCAAAGAATTACCAAATGGATCAAGGAATGCACTATAAGAACAATCTGTGCATCTAACATTGCCAATATAGTAAGTTCAACATAACTTCCTATGTTAAATCAGTAGCAGAGTTGAGAGCCATGCCAAAATTACTGTGCTTATTGACTTCCCTAGAAAATATTCATGTGCCATTGTTTACTATGAACCAAAATATGGTGGTGACTATCTTTAGCCTTTTATGTATTAAACATCAGAAGTAAAGTCTGCTCCTGAGCATCATATTTTCCTCAATGGGTCCAGAGATTTGTGATGCTACTCTGTGTAGCGTCAGTTTAAAATAGTAACCTGTAATCTTATGCTACTATAATCTGAAATAAGGCTTCGTTTGTAGGAATAAATGACAAATTATAATCTGTAATCATTCAGACATAGGGTATGTATAGTACATGCATGTAATTTGGTCCATGGTTCTTGCAGGTACAGGCCATGATTGTATCAACACTTACACACGTGTTTAAAACTTTACTATTAAGAGTAGCCCCATTGAAATTAAACTGAAATGGGCATTCATAGTATTAAAATTCTTGCATAAATGTTACCATGTAAACACTTATTCATCCCATTGAATTCCAAGATATTACTCAATGGCATAAGTGCTTGTCAGACTTGGTTTAAGTTTAAATACTAATGGCTAATATGCATGTTTTATTCCACACTACAGAAGAAACTGTTATCAGCTACAGCAACCACAGAAAGCTAAAGCACATACTGAATCAAATGAGATTCTACAAAGGAATGAGATTCATCCCTGCATATCCCTTACAGGACAGTGACCTAAATGTTTAACTGCTAAGTATAAAAACATCAATATCTCCCCCTACAGGACAACCCAGGTCTTTATTTGAAGTCTATGATACTATGAAATAATAAGTCTCTATTCTATAACCAACAAGCAAAACAGATGAAGACCCAGGTCTTCTCTCTGCTGCACAGTAGAACCTCATTTATTTAAATGCCAGCGCAAAGAGGATGGGAAAATGGAAAAATGTACAGTGACAGTACAACAATCAAATTTTATTTGAAATTAGATGGATGAAAAAAATTCATCAGAGACTGTTCTAGTACCTCTTATAAAATCAAATGATTAGTGTTAGTGACTAAACTTCTTTAAGACAAAAAGTCACTGAGTGACCAAAGCAAGACTTTTCTGATGCAAACACCTAGGCCCTAAAAAGTTGCATGAAGATTCTGCTTATGCTCCATTTTATAAAGAATAACTGTAACTACAACTAACAAATGTTTATTACAGTTAACTGCATTAATATGCATGCCAGAAAGTGCATAATTCACTTAAAAGTTCAACATACAACCCATGCTAATTCCCCATTGCTTACATCATACAAACAGCTGTTAACTGCATAACAGTTAAGTGCATAAATTGTTTAAGTGCATGCTGTCTCTTAGCCCCATTCTCTACTTTACAACTTAATTGTATACCAGTTAACTGCATACTGACTGTAACTGAAACTATCTATTCTGGAACTAAATGTACTCTGCCTGGAACTGTGAAAGGCAAACAGCTGTCAAAGGGCTGCTATTAGAAGCCTTGAAAATGACAGGAGCTAGTCAGCTTCCCAGCTGCTATCTTCCCTCATTTTCAAGGCTTCTAATAGCAGCCCAAAACAGACTATTAGAAACCTTGGAAATGATGAATCTCATCAGTTCTGGGGCTGCTAATACCACAGCACTGACAGCACTATGCATTTAATAAGCATTCTTTACAGCACTGTCAGAACTGTACAGCATTAGTAGCTCTGAAGCTGACTATTAGATTCTTGACAATGAAAGAAAACAGTCAAGCGTCAGGGCTACTAATTCCATAGCACTGAGAGCTGAATTAGTGAGCACTATTTACATTAGGTTCAGGTAAGTGCATAGTCTTTTTACAGTCCTGACGATACGCATTTAAACAGAGTCCACTACATTTGCATGACATTAGAACCCAAAAGCCCAGACCATGACAGGGCATGGGCACCACCAGCAACTGGAAGGGAAGAACACAGGGGGCGGGGGGCACATGCCCCCCCTGAGATTGGGTCCTGACTTGGCACTGCTCAGGATGGGGCAGTTTTCTGCCACACAGGCCAGCAGTATGTTGGGGGGTGGGGGCACTAAGCCACAGTACAGAAGTATAGGATATGGGGCTTTTGGCCCACCCCCAGGCCTCCCCCTGGACCCACCCACAAATTGTGCCCCCCCCCCGCAACTCAGGAGGCACCAGTCACCCCTGATGGGTGCTAAATACTAAACAAGTATAGTAAGAAACTGACAACTGTAAACAGAAGAGACAGATTAAAGCAGGAAAAATACAGATGCAGGAAAATGAGATGCTTTTGTTAGGA